TCCACGTGTCTGTGCAACGGGCCCAGTGCTGTCCTGAGGGCTCAAGGAGAGGAGTGTAGTGATTGATATTGACCGATGTTCACAGTGTGCTGGCATCATTCAGTCCTCCAGAATGTCGAGAGTCGAACACCATTGTCACACCCATGTTACAGATGGGAAACTGAGGCACAGAGTACAGACCTGGCCATGGGAGGCATGCAATCAGTGAAGCTGTTCTTGTTGTTATGAACTGGCTGTTCTTGGGACTTGAGTTCGAACATCAAATACCCTTGGGCGGAATCCTGAGCTAGCTGTGGAGGGGAGCCAGGCTGGCTCTGAGCTGGGTTTCCTGGGCCGGTGCTTTCCCTGAGCAATGGGAAGCCTTAGTTCTCTCCCCAACCCCCCGAGGGACCTGAGGGATAAAACATTTGTGTGGCAGTCGCTGTAATCACACTGCAAGGGACACTGGAAATTATCTGCGTTTGAGAAGCTAATTTTAAAGAGCGTTTCCCCCTTCATAATTATATGCAATCAGCCAGCCTGTGTTGCGGGGAGGGGGGGGGGTGGTCTCTTTTGCCCTCAGCCGAGTGGCCATCTGCTCTTCTCTTCCTGGTCTCTATTCAGCATGCAGCAGGCCACCTCCCTGGTGGAGGGGCCACCAGCCCTTGGCTGCCTAGAGGTCCAGATGAAACCCTCTGTGTGACTGGCATAGGAACAAGGGAGAAAAGTGGAGGGTGATTCTAGGCCTCTGGCTGGGTGGTGGTGGTTGCTTTCAAGATTGAAGTGCAGCCCTGGTGGGTGCGGCTCAGTTGGTTGAGTGTTATGCCATGCACTGTGTTTCGATTCTCGGTCAGGGCACTTGCCCGGGTTGCACGGCTCTGTCCCCAGTAGGGATGAACAGGAGGCAGCTGACTAATGTTCCTCGCTCTCCCTCTCCCGTCCTCTCTCTCTAAAAATAATTAAAAGAATCAATAAAGCCATATTTCAAAAAATAAGAGATTGAGGCGCAGGTTGGTGGAGAAGGTGGTAGAATATGATGTTTTGGTTTGGATGTTGTAGTGGCCAGGATTCTTGTGGCTGCAAGTAAGAGAAGAGCCAAATCAGATGAGCTTAAGCAGAGAGAACTTCTTGGCCCAGGTTACTAAATAGCACAAGAATGGGCCCCCAGGGCCTGGAGACACGCCTCGTGCCCTTCTCACTCCCCAGTGGGGCTCTGCCACCATGGTCTTTTCTCAGTTCTTCAGGTGCTCTTTCCTACCCCAGGACCTTTGCATGTGCTGTTGCTGCTGTCTACCAGACTCTTTCTCCCTCCTAACATTCTTTCTTTCTTTCTTTCTTTCTTTCTTTCTTTCTTTCTTTCTTTCTTTCTTTCTTATTTTTTTACTATTATTTTTTTTAGCTTTATTGGGGTATAATTGACAAAATTGTAAGAACATTTAAAGTATACAACGTGATGATGTAATACACATATAATCTGTGAAAGGATTGTCCAAATGGAGTCAATGAGCATATCCATTACCCACGTTTACCTTTTTTTTTTTTTGCCAAACCAAGTTTTTTTAATTTTATCCTTTATATCTCTATTGTTGAAAGTATTACATATGTCTTCCTTTTTCCCCCATTGACCCCCTCCAGCCCACCCTCGCCTCCCACCCCAGGCTTTCACCACCCTATTGTCTCCCTCCTAACTTTAGATCTCAGCACACAGTCCCCCTTCTGTGTCTCAACCTCTTGAGTGTTCCTTTCAGAACATGTCCCACATGCTTATTTCAGTTGTTGGCTTGTTCACCCTCCTGTCTATGCTATAAGCTCCTTGAGGACAGGTACCCTTTCCATCATCTTCAGTGTTTGTCTCGGCAGTGAAACTGTGCTGGGCACGTAGTAAGTGCTCAAGAAGTATGCGTGAGATCAGTGAAATCAATAGGATGCCACCTTGGATAGAAAGGTGGTTCATGAGAAAGCGAGTCACTGGGAGAAATTTAGTTTAAGAAAACCTGGCAAAACAAACAAAAAAAGTGCCCTCTACCCGCCCCTGTCTTGTGGCAACTAGGATCATTCCTGGAGAGCTGTGGACCAGATGAATATCCCGCGTCAGGGAAGTGTGCATGGACTTTTAGAGCCCCCCAGCCCCCCCTACCCCCCGACAAGGGTGGGACAGAGCTGGCGTGGCCCTGTCCTTCGGTAAGGAGGAATCGTGTTTAAGAGGAGGCATCGTTTGCTGGTCCTTGGGCCCCTCAGTGGCCATCTTCTCGGGCTGCCCTCCAGCAGGTCATACAAGGAAGAGCCTGCCAGTGTTGTGGACAGTGGGCAAGGGGTGCGGTGTTCCAGACGAGGTGCCAACAGGGTGGGCAGGTGTTTGGAAGTGTGGCAGAACCAGCCTGTCGGGGGAGGGCATGAAGCCAGGTGTGCGAGGAGCAGATGGGGGAAGATTGCTGGACAAGGAAAGGAGGTGGGCAGACGGGTGTCGCAGGCCTGGGTGACACGGTGGACGAGGGAAGCCTCAGAAAGGCTTTGGGGGGCAGTGAGGTTATGAGTCATGTCTTAGATGTGGAGGGTCACAGGCTGAGGGGGAGTGTGTAGGGACTGCAGGAGGGTGGCCTGGTGGCCTTCAGGACAGAGGTCTGTGTCTCCTGGCCAGGGAGCTGCCCTTGGCCATACGCAAGCATTCTCTTCTGGCTGGACCCAGGGCTTCCTCCTTTTGGTGTGTCACTCCTCCTGGCTCCTGGCTTTGGTTGGTGGCAGCTGTGACACCCTGCGTGGGACTCTCTGAGGGATTTCTTGAGCTGTTTGGGGCCTGTTGCCATGGCTCCCAGCTGCAGAGCCTGGTAGGGCATGAGGCTAGGCAGGAAGGAGGTGGGGGCAGGCTCTGGGGCCCTCGGAGGCCTGGGGCTCATTCTTTCCTCCTTGGGAGGCCCAGCCGGCCCACACATTGTAGCTCCTCTGCTGTCCTGGGACCGGGGTCCTGTGGCCGGCCCATTGCTGTCCTTGGTAGGTCCAGAAAGCTTCAGAGATGGGGAGGGATCCTGAGACCCGAGCCCTAACACCTGCCCCACGTACTAGTCTGCCTCCGTGATGTGGGCATCTGCTTCAGCGTGCATCCCTCCCACCACAGGTGGCGACTAGATCCTCCGGCCGCATGCACCTTCCTTCCTGTGGGAGCTGGCATCCTCTTCCTGCGGCCGAGCTGAGACCTGCTTCCTGTCCCCTGCTTTATAGAAAGGTGCCCTCTGCTCGGAGAGTGTGCATTCGAGGCGACATTGTCCTCCAAGGAGCTGTCAACCCGTGTGGAGGAGAAACAGGCCTGCCAGCTCCTCCTGCTTTTGGGCCTTATGTAACCCAGGGCACGGCCAGTGCCCACGCCACGTCCGAGGCAGTCACAGCTCCTCAGGAAGTGCCTTCTGCAGGCCTCCCAGGGGTCATGGGGGTCAAGGGTCTGAGGAGGGAGTTTAGTCCCCCCTGGGGCAGTGGGTGGGCAGGGAGGGGCAGCAGCTCTGTCCAGAGCAGTTTCTCCCCAGAAAGCCTCACCCCCCGCAGACCTGGCTGGACCCCCACCCTCATAGGTGGGGTGGTCACTTAGGGTCATGTGATGAGGGAGGTCTTTGCTGACAGGCAGACCTGACTTTAGATTGTGGTTCTGCTCTGCTTACTTGCTGTGAGTCTTTGGATGTGTTTCTTTCATATATATATGTATTCCAGCTTTATGGAAGTATAACTGGCAAATAAAATTGTAAGCTATTTAAAGTGTACAGCGTGATGACTTGATATATGTATAAATCATGAAAGGACTTCCACCATTGAGATAATTAAAACACCCATCACCTCACATATTTACCTTTTTAATTTTTTTTGTGTGTGAAGCACTTCTCTCAGCAAATTTCAACTAAATAACACAGTGTTATCAACTAGGTCACTATGTACATCACTAGATCCTACGGCCTTATTCATCTTACAGCTGAAAGTTTGTACCCTTTTACAACCTCTCCCCATTTTCCCCACCCCCAGCCCCTGGCAGCCACCATTCTACTGTTTCTATGAGTTCAACTCTTTTTTTTTTCTTCTTTCTTTTTTTAAGATTCCACATATAAGCGTTACCATGCAGTATATGTGTTTCTGTGTCTGGCTTATTTCACTTAGCATAATGTTAGGCAAGTTTCATAATTTCTCTGAATTCCCTCACTTGAAAATATAGGACAGCCACCCTCTCTAATGCAGCTGTGGAAATGAATGCTACATTGACCGTCGGAGTGCCAGCTCGTAGGCCCTCCAGCCCACCTCCTCCTCTGTTCCCTGTCTTCCTTGCTTGGGAGAGCAGGCTGCGTGGGGAGCGTGGGCCCAGGACTTACTGGTGTTGCCTCCCATTTGTTTGAGTTGTGCCTCGGCCTTTGAAATCCTCCTTGAAAGTTGAGGGTCTCAGGGGCACCAGATGAAGTCACTGCCTGTCTCTGGAGTCCTTAGATCAATGCATCAGGAAAGGGGGCTGGGGCTAGGGCCTGGCACCTGGGCCTGTTAATGGAGGCCGAGTGGGCTCTGTTGATGCTAGTGTGCCTGGGTGCTGGGCTCCAGCTCCAGACGCCTCTGCGTTTGGGGAGTGTCTGTAGCTGCTTGGAGCCACTTGGCAGGGTCTGAGGGACATGGCCTTCAGTGGAGCCAGGGGAACTTGGAGTGTGTGTGTGTGTGTGGGGCGGGGGGGTGGGGTGGGGGGTGGAAGTGGGAAGGCGTAGCTGGTCTGGGCCTCTCTCGTGGGTCTCCAGGTGGACCTAAGGGTCAGGAATCATCACCCCTCCTCACCACTTAACAGCCAAGCCTTCCAGGCCTGGGGCTTCAGGTCTCCACCACCCAGGCCCCTTCCTCCCTGGCCCTGGGCGCCTCTTCCCATCAGAGAGCCCTGTGTCTGTGTTGGTTATGCCCAGGATACCTTTGGAACCCTGCAGGCACTGTGGGGGCTGAGCACCAGCCTTTTCCTTGTTGACTGTTAAGGCCCCCAACAAACCTCTGGACAAATTCTCCTCTGCCCACAGGCCACACATGGACACACGGAACATCTGGATTCGTGGGGTGGCAGAGTGGTAAGAGCCTTGGTTTTTAGGTAGACAGGAAGATGCCACTCCCCCCTTCCACTGTGTCCCCAGAACCTGAATATGGTACCTTCCATGGGGAAAGGGGCTTTGCAGTTGTGATTAAGGTTAGGGATCTTGAGACAGGGGATTATCCTGGGGTATCTGAGAGGGCCAAATGGGTCCTTAGAAGGGTCCTTAGAAGAAGTAGACAGGAGGGTCCAAGTTGCAGAAGATGTGATCATAGAAACAGAGGTCAAAGTGATGTGGCTGCAAGCCAAGGAATGCAGGCAGCCTCTAGAACTGGAAAAGGTGAAGGCAGGATTTCCTCCTACATCCCCCAGACGGAATCAACCCTGCCGTCACCTCCAGAACTGTAAGAGAATATCTTGTGTCGTTTTCCACCAGTACGTTTGTGTTGATTTGTTAAGTAGCAATAGGACATGAATACAGTGTTCATATACTGAAAGGGGAGTGACTGGGTCAAGGTCAGAACCAGGCTCCCTACCCTGAATCACAGACCAATGGATACAGTTGTTGCTTGACTCCTTGGGCCGCCTCCCACTCCCTCTCCTGTACATAGTTGAGGGGTTGGTGAAATATTTGAATAAGGTGTTTCAGAGTTGAAGTTTCTTGAGATTGTCGGTGAGGGTAACTTCACCTTTGGTTTGATGTGACAGCAACCCTGGTGCTGTGCAGAGGGGCCCAGGAAACCCCAAATGCCCAGAGGCCCTGGCTTTGCCCCAGCTGCACATGGTACTCTGCTGATGACCTGTGTTGGTAGTCTCTTTCCTCGTGACCCCCAGGGCGCAGCTCAAAGAGCGTCTTCTGTCACCTTCCTGTCCCCCTGCCATCCCCAGATGTTGGCTGTATTCAGGGGCCTGTGGTTCACACACCAGTTCGCTGACTTGCTTTCCTTGGCCACCTGCTTCTCTATGCAGGGCTTATGGCTTATGGCTTGGAGGTCTGGCTGCTCCCAGGCCTGGACAGAAAAGCCCAGCAAACATCTGATGACAATCAGAAGGGAACTCAGGGCTTGTGCGGTTGGAGACCCAGCACAGGATAGAGACTCCCCCTCCCCAACAATGGCAGGGCTCAAGGAACCCTGAACCTTCCACCCTCTGGGAGTGTTCGCAGGAATGGTGGGTGGGGATGTTCAGTCTACTAGGGAGCACAGCCTTCAGAAGTGTCAGCCGCCCAAAACACAGGCTGGGACACACACCTGAGCACTTATTTTTAAAAATATATTTTTATTGATTCCGAGAGGAAGGGAGAGGGAGAGAGATAGAAACATCAATGATGAGAGAGAATCATTGATCGACTGCCTCCTGCACATCCCCCACTAGGGATTGAGCCTGCAACCGGGGCATGTGCCCTGACCAGAATCGAACTGTGATCTCCTATTTCATAGGTAATGCTCAACCACTGAGCCACGCCAGCCGGGCCTGAGCAGTTATTTTAAGGGCTTGTGGTACCTAGAGGATAGGTGCAAAAGAAATGATTCAGGCCTTGGGCAGGCCGCTCCCTCCCCCATGGGTGCCAAGGAGGGAAGTGTCAGCACAGGAATGCCTGTCATCTTTCTTTCTTTGTAGCTTACCTTGCTTTTTAGACTGATGATAAATAACTTAGCATTCTTGGGAATGAGCAACTGCTGTGAAGATTCTGAGCCTCTGAGTCATTAGCCCCGAGGCAGGAGGCTAACAGCTGGGGGTGGTGGTGGTGGTAGTGGTGGTAGTGGTAGTGGTGGTAGTGGTGGTCTGCAACAGGCTCTTCCAGCAGCCTCTGTGCCGCTCCTGCTCCTATAACCTCCCCCTGCAACTTAGGGCCCAGCCCTGTTTAGGAGAAAGAAAAATTACAGCACTTGCAAGGGGGTAGTACAAATCTCAAAAAGACATCAAAGTAGAGAATTTTTATATTAAAAAATAGGGGTGTGTCAAGCACCATTAAGGGAATTTCAACATTAGTTTTCAGATGAAAGATTTGGGGTGATTTCCAGTCTGAAAGGGTGACACTTGGGATGTAGCAGAACACATCCTCGGGTAACCTCCAGCCCACCCCTGCCTCAGTTTCCCCATCCTGAACGTTGAGGCGTGTTTAAAGGTGCCTCAGCAGCAAAGGCCTCTCCGCCCTGGAGGTTCCGCTTTCCCGGGAAGGTGAGTCACTGCCTCTGCCTTCCGCCCACATCCTGGGTTCCTGAAGAGAAGCCGCTTCCCGCTTCCTGACCGACTGAGCACTTGATTGGCTCTGCAGGAACACAGACACACGCTGCGGTGCACTTGGGTGCCCTGTGGCCCGCCCTCCCCTGCCTCCTCCAGGTGGGGCACCAAGTGTAAGGGAAGGTTTTTAGTCCCCAGTCAGGGAAAGGGTGTCACCCCTCTCTGCTCAAAAAAAAAAAAAAAAAAAAAAAAAAAGAGACATATGTCAGCTTCCAGTTTATCTGGGGCTTTCCTGGAGCTGTCCAAACAATTCAAATGTTTGTGCTGGCTTTACAGTTCTGTTCATATGCTGCCTTTATATTGGGGCATTTCAGTTTCTGGAACTATTAATAGGAGGAAAATCCAAAGTATGAAACTGTCAGCAAGCGAACCAGGCTGCCCAGGAAGCAAACAGGCAGGGAGGGCTCCGGACTGGAACCCTGGCACTGGGAGGCTGGGACTCACGAACACCAGCCGGGTGCGGGGTCTGCCGCGGGCACAGGGTGCCTAATAAAGAGCACAGTCTCTGGCCTCAGGGGCTCCCCATCGGAAGCCGAGCACAGAGCAGTCTTAAGTGTCAGAGGGTTGAATGCCTAAAGAGCCAACATTGCTGCCCTGGGAAGGGCCAGGCAACGGCCTCTCTGTGAGTATGACATTTGAGCTGTTTTTGATGGGCGAGCAGGAGTTTGCCAGGGAGGAAAGGCATTCTAGCAGAGGGAGCAGCTTCTAGCAGAGGGAGCAGCTGGTGCAAATGCACTGAGTTGTGTCTGGCCTGGGTGTTTTAGAGAACAAGGTCTGTCCTGGGAGGCTTTGATGAGAGGAGGGACTGGCACTATTTCCCCCCACCCTCACCCCCGCCCCCGATACCTTGTATTCCAAATGCCACATGCCAGGTACTATAAGTATTTGGGATGCAGACACAAGCCCTGTTTCCTCAAGGAGTGTTTATCAGTCAGGATATGCCAGGTTAGGCTGCAATAACAAGCAACCCTGGGAGGTTTGCAACAAAGGTTTGTAGCCTGTGTTTACTCTGGAGCTGTATGACTCTCCAGGGCTGGTGTCCTCCCTGTGGTGGCTCAGTGCTGGTCTTCTGTATCCCACATCCTTAACATGGATAGTTCAGGCCGGATAGTTCTTTGTTTTAAGGGGCTGTTCTGTGTATTGTAGGGCCTTTCCTTTCTGGATGCCAGAACTTTGCCTAGTTATGACAAAGAGATGTCTTCAGGTTACTGAATGTTCCCTGGGGGCAGCATGGCCCTGGTTGAGAACCACTGCTAGCCGAATAGTTTCTCTCTGGTTCCCGGCCTGGCTTCATCGCCACCCAGCCCGGTTTCTTTCCAGGAATGGGTTTGGACTGGCTTTGGGAGTTGTCGCTGTCCTCGTGCTCCCACAGTCGCTGAGGTCCAGGAGGACTGGCCAGGGAGCCGAGTACTGGCAGTTGAATGCTTCTACTTGGATGTGATATTGGCCAAAGCAAGGCACATAACTCTGCCTAACCTGGGGGTGGGGCTGTACAGCGGAATTCCTAGAGGAGAGCTGCCCGTGCTGGTGGCCACCACTAATGTCCCCCACGGAGCTTTTAGCGAGGCCACCTCTGCATCTGTGCTCGGTGCTGGGGTGCAGAGGCCCGGGGGGCTGCGAGGGGGGGAGCCAAGGAGGGTGGGCTAGGTGTTGGTGCTGGGGTGGCTTCTGAGGCAGCGTGAACAGCATGTCCTCTGCATGCATAGGCGAGAGGAGGCCCAGCCACCTGTTCAGGGAACCCTGAGTCCTTGGCAGGGCAGGGAGAGCAGGAGGAGGTTGCCTGTAGGCCTTGTGGGTATAAAGGGACTTTGTATTGGGGCTTCTGAAATCTGGTGATTACCAAAGTGTGCTCTGAACAGCTTGGATGAGCGTGTGCAGGCTTAGCACGGGCATAATTACACGCTTCGTCTCTAAGTGGGTGTTAGCGCTGTGCAGGTGCAGCTGCTCTCTCCTTGCCCGTTGGTGGGGGAGCCTGCGTTTCTGGGTCGATTCCCTCTCCTGTGACATTGTTCCTTGGAGGCCTGGCCTCCCTCCACAGCGGCTGATCCTGCGGGCCCTCTCTTCAGGGGCGGCTTGCACGTGACTGTGACCTTGCACATTGCGGGAAGGCGGTTCTTGATGAGGGGCCCCATTTTTTCCACTTGTTGGTCACTGCTCTGCCCTCTCTGAGCTCCTGGAATTCTTCCAGCTGTCACTGGACCGTCTCTCCTCGTTGGTCAGAGGGGACCTCTGTGTCTCGGCCTGCAGCTCTCTCCCCTGCTGATGCACCATCTCACAAGCTTCACTTGCTTGTAGCCCTCAGGCCTCATACCTGCCCAGGAAGGTCCTGTTGGACCAGAAGGTCGTACCCATTTAACAGATGTGAAAGCTGAGACCCAGAGGGGCTAGCAACATGTCCTGAGCCTACTGGTTTTCACGGGGCCTTGAGGTCTGCTGCTCGATGGGGGTCGTAGTCCCAAGGTGTCTAGTGATAACCTTCCTGATGTGTCACATGCATGGCCTGTGCCTAGGGCCTGACATGGCCTTGTGGCGTGGGCTAGTGGATGCTTCTTCTTGATGGCCCTGCCTCCTGGGCTTCTGGGGAGCTCTTTTCTCCTTCTCCTGCCTTGGGTCCTCTTTATCAGCTCCTTTGCCATCCCCTCTCCCTCCAGGCAGGTCATCCAGGGTAACTTCGTCAATTCCAGGACCAGGTGGCCACTGTCGCTTACTGAGGACCTGCTGTAGTAAGCAGGGCAGTGGCCAGTGACAGAAACTCAGTGTAAACTGGTCTCAGCAAAACCCCGCAGCTGGAAGCCCCGAGAAGACAGGCTCGGGCAGAGAATGCTGTCCTTTACTCCTGGCGTGACCCCGAGAGTCTGAGCACTCAGAGGCAGCAGCGGCTGTGCCCTTTGCTGCTGGCAGTCCCAGGACCCATCCTGGGAAGGATCAGGGATGGCCTGGCTCAGGTTGCATGCCCATCCTACAACTGTGTGAGGTGCAGGCCACATACCCACCCCTGGAGGGAGGCGTGGCTGCGCCTCAGTTGTTTGCCCTTCGGAACCACGCAGGACTGAGGAGGGCAGTTCTGAAAGGCAGGAGGCCGGGCAGAACAGCCCCTTGGGCTGGGTTCCAGGAGTCTCCTCATTTGAGACGAAACTGAGGCACAAGGTACAGTTGGGTCTGGTTCCGTGCTCTCCTTGGGGACGTACCCCACCTCGTCCATTTCCATAGACAGTTCCTGAACTGTCTGGTCAGCTGAGTCCTGGGATTCTAACCACCTCCTGGCACCACCGTGGTTGCAGAGATGGACACGTGCCCAGGTTCCTGGGAGATGCCCTTTCCTGCCCTCTCCTGGGGCTGGCGTGGGGCCTCCACTGTGCCGGGAGTGTGAGCATCACAGCGCTTTCTGGTTCTTTTGTGCCCTTCATTCCTGTCCCAAGATCTGGCAGGGCTGCCCTGGAATGAAACCTGCTCCCCTCCCCCGTTCTTGGGCAGATTTGGTCCCGCTACCAGCAGCACCGTTCCCACACCTGGCCGCTCCCCAGCAACACCGGGTGCTTGGGAAACTCCAGCCTGTTTCCCAGGTTCCGAGTCTTTAAATGGGCTTAGAATCCGATTCGAATGTTCCCTCGAGTGGCAGTCCGTGCCCCGGAGTGGGTGTGGCCGCAGCTGCTCCTTAGAGTTTGGAAGCTCTCCTGGTGAATCCTGAGCTCTCTCGCTTCAGCCAGTCAGTGACTCATGTCCTTCTCAGGCATCTGCTTCCTGCCAGGCGCTGGGAATGCGGGCAGCTAGTGTTACCTGTCATTTAAAAGATAATTCAAGAAAAGTGACTTCTCTAGTTTTTGAGATTATATTAGAGGCACAGGGCACAGAATTCAAGAGATGCAGGGGCATGCACAGTGAAAAGGAAGTCCCCCCCCCCCCCCCCCCCGCCAAACTTGCCCTGAAAAAGAAGGCGCCCTGGAACATTTTTTTTTGTAGGGGTTTCAAAAACCTTCCGGAGATATGATGGTGTGCGCCAACCCATATAAAGTCTGCTGAGACAGGGTTTTACACCCGAGTCCTCATAATAAAGCCCCGGGG